AAAAAAAAAAAAAACACATTATGTCAAAAAAAAAAGAATATGCCTAACAACTGATGGTTAAATATAGTGTTGTAATAATTTAAGATTTTACATAGGGTAATTTAGTGAAGAAAATAAAATACTCTGGTCAAATTAAAAAAAAACACACATTGTATCTTGCTAAAAAAGAAAACAAAAAAAAAGAACAAAACCTACTTACTACCCTCTAAAGCACATGTATATATACATACTCTTATCTCAACACTGTAGCTATAAAATACACATAACACTTGAAATAAATTACAATGCTATCTTACACCTACATTTTAACTGCAGTTTTCATATATGTCCTAAATAGAGAATATACATATGTGAATGCCTTATTCCTCCATCCCAGCCTTCTCTCTCTATCTGCTTCTCCCCCTTCTCCCCACCTTCTGAGAAAAGAAGTAAATTACATTTGAAAGTTTTTTTAATATTCTTTGGTTTATACTATACCACTGGGCAAGAACTCTTATTACCTTTAAGGTGTTCTGGAACCATGCTACAAGATGTTGTAGAGAAACGTCTGTTTCACTTCTAACACTGGTGAACTCCTCTCTTTTACCACACTTCCAGTCATAAAATTTCTTAAGTATTTCCTCAGAGTTTGTCCCTTCTTTGGCCTGTCCATATACTGCTTTTAAAGAGGCTGACAAATCCTGCAAATATTTATTTCTGTTTTAATAAAGTTTTTTAACTTCATATTACAATTCAAGCTCTGTATCAGAATCTAAGAGACAGAAAAGCAGTATGTGGAATCCCTATCATTGACAATTTTATAAATAAAACAGAATAAATAGGCAGTCATGAAAACATAAAACTACCTAGAAAATGATTTATTTGGTTTATAATAGCAAAAGTTTATCAAGTGAATTAAGATTACAAATAGCTTTATATTCTTAGATTTTTAATTAAGTAGAAATTACCCTCTTTTCTCTGACTTTATATAAGAATCACTACTGTTTTATCCTGACATGGAAGTTTCCAATAACTTTTGCTAAATAAAAATAAACTACAGACCAAAATATACAAATAATTCCAATTAAGTAAAGACTTACTATATAAACACACACACACACACTTAAAAGCATTTTTTAAAGGACTGGAAGAGACAGAGAGCTCTCAGAAAGCGGCAGCCCAAGCAAGAGGCAATGGGTTTATACAGTATATCATAGAACTTAGATGAAGCAAGAATTGATAGCCAGTACAGAAGGGTTGGCCAGCCCTCGGGCATTCTGTTTTCTTCCCTTTTCCCCTGAATACCTGGTAACAGTTCCATCCAAGGTGGTAGCCACTGGAAAAGAGCAGTAGCCAAGGTACAGAGACTGGGAGGTACACTGAAGAGTAAGATCATCCAGAACAGAAGCCAACAGAAAGTAGCTGAACCCAGACTGCAACCCTAGAAGCTCAAAGAAACAACCCAATCCTGTTCCCTAAACCCACCTGAAGTCTTTGAAGTCATAGTCCAAGCTTTCACATCTCCTTAGGGACCTCTACTGTACTATCCCAAAACTACATAACAGCACAAAACTAAGATAGCTTATAGTTCTCCAACAGAGTATGAGATCTTGAGGGGACGTTAGGAAGGATGAAATATGTGAATAATACAGGTACTCTGAAAGAAAGATAAACTTAGCCACCACATTAAAAAGGAAGCAAGATCAGTGGCCCATATATTGGTAAGAACTCAAAATAAGCATAACAAATATTCTCAACAAAAAGAAAGAATACTGCAAATACAAAGCAAAACCAAGTAGATATAAATAATAACCAACTGAAGTTATTAGGTATGAAACAAATAATCTCTGAAATAAAAGAACAAAATGGATTGGCTAAATGGCAGAAAGAATATAGCTAGAGAATCAGTGAGCTAAGTCAAGGATCCCTCCAAAAAGACACAGAAAGGGATAAAAAGAAAAAACAATGGATGAACAATTAAAATATATAGAAATACCCATCTAACAGAAGTCCAAAAATGAGAGAAAAATAAGTGGGAATAAATGGGATATGCAGGGGTGGAGAACAGTATCTTTAAGAAATAATTATCAAATATTTCTTACAGTTAAAGAAAGATAAAAAAAACCTCAGACTGAACTGACTCAGATTAAATCTAAATATATATGCTTTAGTGTAATTTTGTAATAAAGTCAAGAGAAAATGTTAAGCTTCCAGGAGAAAAAGTATCACAGGACAAAAATAAGATTGATATCAACGGCTATGGAAATTATAAAAAAATGAATTATTACTGTTAAACTTCTAAAGAAATAAAGGCCTTTATTGGACCCAATATTTTATAGCAAGCTAAGCAATTGTTTTAAATGTAAGTGATTGTTTAAATGTTTGAATTGTTTAAATATCTCAAGTCATTTAATACCACCAAAGGACCTCTTGGAAAGCACTCCTAGAGAAACACTCCAACACATAGAAAAAAAACAAAAAGATATCCAACTTCTGAAATAAGAATTAGAAAATAACTCCAAAGTTTGTTATTTAATTGAGCTATCATTTACAATATCCACAATAGTCTATGACTAAAATCTAAAATATCAACTGTGGTTGGTTGGTTAGTTTGTTTTTGGGAAGGAGAAATAAACAGAGAGGAAGATATATCAAAGGCAAGTGACCATTTTAAGATATTAAGGGTAGAGGGCAAAATAGGAGGAAAAAAATTTACAGAAGTAAGTTATATAAAAGTATTGATTATAAGTAAACTCAAAATGGATCAAAGACCTATGAATAAAAGACATGAAACTATAAAACT